TAATATCTGTAAGGTAGGTAGGATAATGCATGGCAAATAGTATTGCAATGTAAGTAAAAATCTTCATAAAAACCCTTCAAGGTACTCTTATTCCTACTTTTCAAATGAAGAAATAGGCCCAGGCAATTTGCCCTACTTGCCTGAGGTTACATAGCAGGTAAGTGGTAAAGATCTGAACCAAGGTAGTCTGAAATGAGAACATACTCGCCTTCTTAAAATCTCCAAGTTAGCAAGAAATCAAAGTCCCCTTCCCTAAATGGGAGCAATTAGTCTATGGAGGTAGTGGCATTTAAAAAATCAATTAGGGAGGGACCCCCAGGAACTATGGGGAGCAGGGTGCTGAGTTTTAAAGGGAACTTGGCTCCTGGACATCAAAAAACCATAGAAGCAGCAGGAGAGACACTTGACCAGTAGTTTGCAAATATAAGCATGCTTCCTAGTTGCCTTTTGGGAGAGTGTTTACAAAATGCAGGTCCCAGATACTCTGATTTAATAAGTCTGGCTGAGACCCAGGAACCTGAATTATGAACAAAGCTGAATGCAGATATTAAGAATCCTTGCCCTTAAGTACGGAAAAGAGGGAAGAAAAAGACTGCCTTGCCCACAGACAATGGAGGATCCCTGGGGTCGGGTGGGGGCGGACTGCTGAGGCTGGGTGTTACCGCGGTGCAAGAAACGCAGCCCACGGAAGCCCCGAAATGGGCGCAGGGGTGAAAAGGGGTGTGCGTGCGCGGTGTGGAAGAGCTGAGATGTGCATGTGCAGTGTCCCCACGCTGCAAAGTCCAGGAGATTCCCTCAAGCCCGGAGGGAAGCCCAGAACCCAGGCGGCGTCCCCGAGGGTCAGGGCGAGCCCTGCGGGGGGAGGCGCCGAACCCTGTGCCTTTCGGGGCTGCCGATTCTGGGTACCCGGGGTTGCAGGAGGGAAAGTGGCCAGAGCAGCAGCCCGGCCTCAGGGGGCTGCCTAGGCTCGTCGTGTCCTCCTCCTGCGGGCCCCTAGTTCCCTGCTTTTAGGAGCCCAGCGCGCGGAAATCGCGCCACCTCCGGGAAGGCGGAGGAAGTGAGGTGGCCTGCCACCCTGGGACCGGCCTTCGGGCTCCGCGGCCTCCGGTCGGCCGAGGCCGCCCGTCCCGGGAAGCAGCCGTCTGGGGGTGGGCCCGGCACCGACCCTCCACGGAGCCCCGAAAGCACTTGGAGGCCGCAGGAGGAGGGAGGGCAGTCACGTGTCCCCCCTCCCCCCGCCCGGGGCATCCCCGGCGCCGCCGCAGCTGGCAAGACGCTTGTCCTACAGCGCCTCCTCCTGGACAAGGCGACAGACAGCCGAGCAGGGGCACGGGCTGCCCTGGAAACCCGAGGCTGAGGCTCCCTCGCGCCCCTGAAGGTCTTCGGGCACCGAGGCTGGGAGGAGCCGGTCGCTGTGTCCCCCGGGGGGGGGGGTGGCCAGAAGTCGACAGGCTCCCGAGACCGCCTCCCACCCCCGGGCTCCCGGCCCCGGAGCGTGCATCCCCCATTAATTAGGCGAGTCCAGGCGGAAAATCCCTCCAGTTTGTCCGTTTATTTATTTATTTATCTGACCGCTCTCTGCTGAGCCGCTGGACCCCGCAGGGACCCCGCAGGGACCCCGCAGAGCCCTCGACCGGGACGGCTGCAGGAGGGACCGGCCTGAGGTTGGGCGGTTAGAGCCGCTCCAGGAGCAAAGGTCCGCTTCCCGGACGCCCCAGGCTGGAAAACAACCCGATGCAATCCCCCGAGGATCACACACACACCTTTTCTCTTAAGGTGTTAAAAGTGTGTGTGTGTGCGCGCGTGCGCGCGTGTTTCTTTGAACCCCTCCCGGAAAGAGGACTGAACGTCCCTTTGGCCACCAGCTCGCGTTTGCAGCCTGTGTCTCAAGTACAGATTTACACGGGGCTGGGGTGCGGAGTCCAGCCGACTGGAAACAACGTCGTCAAGGACAACAGGCTTGGCTATATTTAGACTGGAGGCCGCAAGACAGGCAAGAGGAGCGGCGAGCACGGAGGGAGGGCGGCGTGGAGCGCTCGGGAGCCCTCTTCCTGCCCGAGTCCGCACGCCCCCTCCCCCCGCCCGTGCCTCGCGGCGGGCTCCGGGCTGGGCCACTTCACTGCACATGCGCCAGGCGCAGGCGAGCGTGCGTGGCAGGCGCTTGGGGCGCTGAGCGGTGCAGCCGCCTGGCCGCGCCTCGCGGTGCCCGCCACGGCCCGCTGCCCGCGCGCCCACCTGCACGGGGCTCGGACGCCCCGTCTCAGCGAGGCGGGAAACGTCCTTTCTCTCCCTCTCTTTCTTTTTTTTTTTTTTCTTCCAGGAAAACCTGTCTGAAAACCCTCAGCCATCCTCTCTGATGTGCAAGCCCTGTTCCGCCAAACCCACAAAATCGCCATGTTGCCAGTGAACACCCTCAAGGTTGTCATTTGGATCCGCGATTGCACATCTAGTTTCTCCCGAGTCGTTAATCAGGGCGTGGGGTGGGGGTTGGGGGGAAGGGGAGTCCCCCCCCCCGCGTTCAGAAAGCACAACTTCTCCCTCATTCTGCACAACCACCAAGTCCAAGGGACTCGTTCCTAGAAAGAGGGTATCTATTCACACCAAATCCGGAAAAGTGGCCCTAAATTGGGCTTAAATCGGAATTCCGAGTTCTTGGTGGCTTCTCCCTAGCTTCCGGTGCCCCCGCGTGCCCTGCCCCGCGGCCGCACTGCGGCAAGGCCGTAAATACCTCTAACAGCTGCCTGCCTGCCCAGAGTGAAATACTGTCTTTGTTCCGATTTCCCTTGCTTCTCTAGCTCAGAAAACAGAAATCTGGCGAAATATACTTATTTGAAGGAGCGTATGATAGGAAAATAACGTTTGGTTTTCAGCCCTGGTGCTTGGCCACATTTATAATAGCGGACTTTGCTCTTTTCCCTGGTCCCCGTGAAGCTGCAAGCCCAGCTCGCAGCCTGACCCCTAAACACCGAGGCTCGGACATGTCAGTGGCCCCGTGAACTGCAAACGGACAGAGGTTCGGGCTGAGGACGCTGGGACTTACACTTCCTGGCTTGTGAGCTCTGAGGGTCCAAGTGTTTCTTATTTAATTTTTAAAAATTGGGTTTACTTTTTTAAATTGCGTTAACAGGGACAATGGAGGCATTTCCGGCAGCAGCAAAAGCGTTAACTGGTCTCCTCCTGGCCTGAGTTCAAATGTGATTTGCAGATTATTCATTCCCTTAAATGCAATCGACCATTAAGTTCCAGTAAGCTCTTAATGCTACCACAGGGCTTACAAAGAACCCTTCAGTCCTCCATATCTGCCCATGACCTCACCCTCTGCTGCCTGCGTAATAAGACCTGCAGTCCGCCTAGGTCCTTAGTCACTTGGGCCGCACTCAGCCACCCAACCCAGGGAAAAGCCACTGAAGCTCTGAACACTAGGGCTTGCCCATCATGGCCTCAACTCCTCCCCACCCCCACGCTTGTCCCAGCCCGCCTAGGGGGCCCCTTAGGCTTTGGCGCTACCAGGGGACAGGCCTAGGTCCTGCCTGGACCAGGGGCCTGTTTTTCAATGGTTAATGCCTTTTATACCAAGATGAAACAAAGATCTCAACAGCCATTGTACTGTAGTGGCGAAACAGTTACAAAATACAGACATTTCAAGCAAAAAAATATCACTCAGTTTCTTATTCCTGAGATTATAGTGACCCATGACAATTCCTCAGACTGGCCACAAATAGTGGCCCTCCATTTTGAAACCAGCGTGATTCCATCCCTAATTACTAAAAATACCTTTCTACAAAGATGTCATTTATTGTTTAGAAATACTTTATGGCCAAAACGATTACAAAGAATATTTGGAATATTAGGATTTGCCGCTGGGTGCTTTGGAGACGATATTCAGCGCTGCGCAGGTCCACCCCATGCGCAATGCGGCAGACTGTCCACAGGTTTTAATATTTCACATGGTGTTCGTGAGGGAATAGTCAAGAGGATTCGAGAGATGCATCCTCAAGTGCTGTTCAAAATCGGTGGGATAAAAGAGCATTCCCCCCTTTTTTTTTCCTGCAGAGGATTTTCTTTTGATGCATGTAATGTTTCAGTTCAGTAATTTTGAAGAAGAGGGTAAAATGTTGCCATATAACGTGTTTTGGGGGCAAAACCCTAGGACAGTGCATTTAGAGAGCAAAATATCTACTCTTTTCCTGTTCTGGCAAGTAAGAAACACACGCGACATTTGAACTTAGACCTGCTTTGAATTTCTTAAGTATCTGTTGGTTTTTTTACCCAAAACCTGCACCAGGTTTTCTGATACCATTACCTCCCAAAACATGTACCCATTTTTGTGACATAACATAATCCAAATTCACCTGATAGATTATTAGATGTGGGAGGCACCTTGCTTGAGTCATTGCAAAAATTCGCTAAGAACCAGAGAACGGTTAAAAATATTTAAGATGCCATCTCATACATAAGGCCCAATAAGCCATAAACCCTAGAAATTAGCCAGCATCACTCGCCAAAGCCGGGACAGACAAACCAAACCCATCCTGGGTACACAGAACTCACCCCACCCCCACCCCAAGCCTCAACCCTCAACCCTCAAAAAAACACCTGTTAGCCTCCCAGATACCTCTGACCACAGACACGCCGCGAAACACTGCTGGGAGCTGTCGAGGGCCTGCAGTGACCCACAACAAAGCGGAGACGGCCGGGAGGCACCTCGGGATTCGCCCCAGGGTGGGGATGGAGGGGCTCCCCACCCAGCGGGGTCCCCTCTGCCGTTCTCCCCCTCTCCGAGTCCCGAGAGGGGACGGGGCTTCCCTTCGGCTTCGGAGCCCCGCCGGACCCCACCCGGGGCCCCGGGGGACGCCCGCTCGCACGCGGAGCGCTGGGGAAGCAGGGGGCGCGGCCGGCCGCCCCGGGGTCCCGGGGCCGCACGGGGCGTCGGGCCGAGCTCCCCGGGCGGCCCCAGGCTCCTGGCGGCGGGGCCGGGCGCGGGGAGGGGCGGCTCTTACCCGGAGGCTGCGGCGCAGGAGGCGGCGGGCGGCCCGGCCGCCGCTGGAGTCCGTTAGGCGCTGCCGGGCTCCGCGCGCGGGGCTGCAGGGAGGCGCTCGCGTTGCAGACCCAGGCGCCTCGGAACCGCGGGCTGCAGGCGCCCGAGCAGGCCGGGCGCGGCGGCGGGAGGGCGGGAGCCGTGGGCGCCGGCGGGGGCCTCGGCGCCCCGGGCTCCTTCCGGGCTCTCCCGCCCGCCGGGCTCCCCGCGGGCTCCGGAGGCGGCCGCGGCGCGGCCCGAGCCGGGCGGCGGTGGGGCCCCGCGGGGCGCCGGGCGGGAGCCGAGGCCGCCGCGGACCCCGCAGCCCCGCAGCCGGCGACTGGATCCCACCTCTGCAGAGACAAAGGTTGGAAAAAGAGGGGGTGAGGCTCCAGGAAGGCAGAATGCGGGGGGAAATTCGCCTGGGAAATCAGGAAAAAGGCCGTGAAGGCGAGCGGCGCCTGCACATGACCAGCCGCAGCCAATGACGACCGCAAATAGGTCATAAAAAGGTCTATTACCAAGTTGTAAATTTTCTTCAAACAAAAAGGAATTTGCTGCAATTCCTTGCGGATTTTGCACATACAGCTCGCAAGCGCCATGTTTTTTCCTCTTTCTCTCCCCGCTATCTCCTGCTCGCTCGCTCGCTCCTTTCCTCCTCCGTTTCCTTCCTTCCCCCTCTCCTCTTTCTTCCTCCCTGCCCCTCTCTGCTCTCCCTGCGTCTCTCGCCTCCATGGTTCCTGACTCTCACCTTTTCTAGGAAGCATTTCTTTTGCTTTTTTTTTTTTTTGCTTTGGCTCGAGACCTCTGCTGGATCGAGCAGCGTTGTGTTAGAGGGGAAACGCATGCGGTGCGCGGCCCGGGCGCTGGGGAGGGCATCCCGCCGGGCACCCCCCTCCGACTCTCCTTGCGCGGGTCACTTGGCTTCCCCTCCCCTCCCCTCCCCTCCCCTCCCTCCCCTCCCCTCCCCTCCCAGAAAGGCCCGCTCCGGAGCGGCAGGCAGGCACTTTCGGTTTTTGCCCCTCTTCTCTCCAGGCGAGCCAGCCCCAGTGATCTTGCGCAGGAAACCTGGGCTCTGTAGGCCAAGAGAGCCCGCCCTCCCCCTAACGCCTCTCCGACATAAATTGGGGTCCCTCCCATTTCTTGGGGTTTCTAGGGGCAGGAGAGTCACCAACCAGCTCGCAGCTTGGAATTGGTTTTAAGTACTTGTCAACTTCTCCAAAACAGTTTGAATTCCCAACACTTGGCATTTATCTTCACAGAAATATCCTCCTGGACAGCACTGGGTTAAAGGGGAAGCAGTCTTTCTGGATCCCCCATGAGACCCCTTGTCATGTCTCCCCTAAGTGCAATTCTTGTTTCTATGCAATTTAATTCTAGTTTCTCCCTTTTCCATTGCCCCCCCCCCAATATTTGTCCAGCAAAAAGCCTGCTCCATGCATTATTGAAGAGGAGGGGGCTCCATTTGTTCGGGGGCGGGGGGGCGGAGGGAAGAGCGGATCCTCAGTTTCAGCCTTGGGGAAAAAATAGCCCTTTTTCTTCAAAGGCAGGAGTCACATTCCTTTTGCACTTCTGATAGGAGCTGCTCCAGAGAACACTAGCTGAAAGTAAATGTCCTTGAGGGCCCCAGCATTCTCCTCATCATTAATGCACGGGCATGGTCATCCAGGCTTCAGAACCTGCCTGGAAGAGGTAACCCATCCCCCCATCCTTTCAAGGACACTGTCTTTGGACTTCTGGTAATGCATCTATAAATATTTGCATTGGATGTCTACAGGTAGGTTTTCTGTTATTAACATCCTCACATCCAGTAAGTACCTAAGTGAACATAGACTTAAACAGGAAACACACAGCACCCTCTGGAGCAGGCCATTTGTATCCCTTGAAAAGGTTCCGATGACCTTGGATGTTTTTTATTAAAGGAATTCTGTTGCCATCTGTCAGCAAAAGTCGTATTCTTTCTAGAAACAGTGTGCTCTCTAACTTTGCTGGAGGGAACCATAGCAGTAGCCAAGGTCCATTAAAATGTTCTCTTTATTCCCTTGTCCACCCCCAGATGCCGGAAGAAGCATCAAACACCAGGGAAGCAGAGGACACAAGCTTGGATGTGAAATAGCAACACCTTATGCACTGAAGAATAATAAAACAATGTTTTTAATTACAAAAGAAAATGTGTAAGAACATGTGGGGCAAATTTGGGGGCCCTTCCAAGCTAGAACACTTTACACGGATCTGTACATATGGAACTGAACAGAGATTGCTCACTTCTAGAATTTTCTAAGAAATAATCTCAATTGTCAATTTTCCCCTACCCACATAAAAGCAGAGCTTTATGACCCTCCTTTTCAGCCTGGGGAAGGGGGGCTGGGAAAAGACTTTGCACTTTTGAAAAGGCAGCCATATTTGCACTTTTTCCCCTGTGCAGAGGTAATCCAGGCGATGTGCTGGGCTTTGTGGAACCTCACAAAATGGCAGTCCCCGAACTGACTTTTCTCTAGAAACCATTGAGACCCACACCCTCTTTTGTGTTTCTGGTCCTCGCAAACAGAGAACCTAAATCACTTGGAAGGCTTGGTTCTTTCATTCAGTGTTAACATTGGAGGGTCCTATTTTTCTCTAAACGGTTTACAGACCTCTCTAAGCAGACTCGAAGCATCCAGGGCCAAAAAGCATTGCCTAGATTTTCAAAGGATTCTCTGAAGGTTTATGCAAATTTCTGCAGCAAAAATGTTTGCTCGCTTCACGGCAACCCTCGGGTGTTTACAGATTTGAGCCAATTAGATGGGGTATCTTCTGTGCTCGTCACCTCCAGTCTGCATGAAACACCAAAATGGGGGGTTTCTGGCCACTAAAAGGTGTGTGTGTGTGTGTGTGTGTGTGTGTGTGTGTGAGAGAGAGAGAAAGAGAGAGCGCGAGCACGAGCAAGAGGGAGAATTCCCCAAGCTCTTTATTTAAAGGCAGATCCATGATTTTTCCCAGCTACAAAAAGAAACATGTAACTATATTTATTTATGACCAATACTTCCTGCAACGTGTAATCTATGTGTATGTACAAATACACCAAATGTATACCCAGAAAACCAAATTTGTAGGTGTACAAATACTCTGCAATGCACCAGCTATTACAACAGAGTTGGGTTTTTTTCCTCTGTACAAGACCTACAATTTTTAAAAAGATTTTATTTATTTATGAAACAGAGAGAGAGAGAAGCAGAGAGAGAAGCAGGCTCCACGCAAGGAGCCCGATGGAGGACTCGATCCCTGGACTCCAGGATCATGCCCTGGGCCAAAGGCAGGTTTAACCGCTGAGCCACCCAGGGATCCCCTTACAATTTTACTATGGGTTTGGGGCGATGGGTCAAGAAGGTATATACTTCCAGAGCAACACAGAATAGAGAGGAAATAAGGACATTGCTACTCCCCTTCATTTCCACATCCCTTCATTTCCCTTCATTTCCACATCCATTCATGCACTGGGTCCCCTGAGTCTTGCCCGAAATCAATGGCTCTAAAACTGGAATTTGGGGAGCATTTTTGCGCGGGAGACAACAAATTTTGCTAATAGAGGAATCACTTAAATGAAAGGTAGCTGGAATTTAGCCAGCAAGCAGCTCTAACCAGCTTGCGGCTGCAGCCACCATAGCCACTGCCACCGCTACCACCACCTCCACCAACCTACACCACCACCACCCCACAGGCTGCTCCCTAGCCATGCTTTCAGGCGCTTGGCATCTTTGCTCTACAGAGCAAAGCAGAGACTGCCAACAGCAGAGTCTCAGGCAGCACACGGAGCAGAACGTTTCCAAATCCAGCATGCACATTTGCAGCTGTCTCCTCTCGTGCAAATGTTCCTTAAGCCGCAGGCCACCCGTGACTTAAAATTGTCTCTCCTGGCTCAGGTCCGTGAATGCCACAACCACAGCCTCTTCCCTGGATAGAAAGCTAGGTGGTACTTCATTTCTGGCCCCACCAGAACATTCCCCAGGTTCTTGGAAGTGGTAAGCAAATAGCCCACCAACGCCTGAGGGGCTGGTTCGGGCCTAAAACCGATTCCATTTTCTTACCTGTGCAATAAAAAGCACTCTGGAAATTAAAATGTTACCTCTTTAAAAACAAACGCATCTAGAAAAAGCAAAGAGCTCTTCAGTGTCTACCTTTCCGTTTTGGGGGGAGAAGTATTAGTTTCCTTGAATTTCTCCTCTTCTCTACTACCCCTCTTCCCCCTCCTCTTTCCTCATAAAATGGCAGCTGCAGGAGCAGCCTCCAATGGAAAATGGATATCTTGTTAATAACAGATCCCAAACCCCGGCATCAGCACAGGCTCAGCGGAATAATCTGTGGTGTAACCTGGACCCTGGGTCTTCCCCCGCTGGGCCCACAACTTGAGTCCTTTGCGAAGTTCAAAGCTTTCACAGTATCTTAGCAAGGTTATTTAGAGCAAGACAAAGCTAGGGTAGCCCAGCCAGCTCTCTCTGGAATGAAAAAAGAGACCCCTCCCCTGAATTTATTTATTTTTACTGCACAGTGCTTGCAACCCCCACTCTTTTTTTTTTTTTAAATCAAATAGAAGCTTTGGTGAAACGTTGCCTTCTAGTAGTCCAGGTGGTGGTTCCTGACTCAGGGAAAGGATTATGTACGGCGCTCAAAGACACTAGCTCTAGAAAAAGATTCATTTCTTTATTGAGGAGCTAGCTATATTCTGGAGCGGTTGTTTACACTCGGATTTTTCTGCATTTGCTCTCAGGGCTTGTTTCAATAGGTGAGGCCATCCTGGAGAACAGCAGAGGACGTACCAACCGACATCTGAGACGCACACAAGTTGGCTCAAAATGGGCGTGCAAACAGAGCGAAGGGAATACAAATAAATATGGCACCTATTCAAAAAACGGAATCACAGCAGCGGCCACAGCATAGAGACCTAGCGATTTCAGGCGATACCAAGCGCAGTTCAAAACGAAAGCAAGTTGAGAAATAAGAGGCATTTCACGAGGCGACTCGCCAGAGTGAAAAGTTAATGAGTGAAAATGTTATAATCGGCTTTTCAAGTATTCATTCACTTTAGATGGTTAAATTGCTATAATTTGTATAGACTACAGAAAATTATTAAATGTCAACTATGACATTTTCCTGAAACTTCTGTCATTGGCCCAACATTTTCCCCCAAGCTTAAGGAAGCTGCAGAGCAGGACTACACATTACACTCTTCAGCTAACATGTGCTTTATGAATATTTGGCCCAGACTTTTCCCCGAGATATTACATTTACAAAACACTCAAACCTTTTAGGAGTAAACAAAAGGCACCCGAACCATTCATTATAAAAGCAAAAAAAGAGAACATAAATAATACGTTTTAATCAAATAACATAAAGTAAATATTCTGCAGGCATATTTTTTTAAAAAAATTAATAGATCTCTTTTAATTTACTCACCATAAAGAAATGATTTTAAGTGTTCAAGTGCACTTATTTGATTAATAAAGCATTTCATATTCAATTATTTAGTGCTAATCATTAGGAAGTTTACGTTGTTGAGGCAAATCACCAGCTCAGACATTAAAAACTACCATTATAAAAATATAGCAACAAGGTCAGTATCAAATTACCCTTACATAGGACAGCTCAAGGGCTGCTTCTGTGTGATACTAGAAACTTTTTTTTTTAAACACCCAAACCCCTCTCAAAGCGCAGAAACCTCAAGAGCAGTGACATGAAGGTAGCTTGAAATACAGGTAAAGTCCTTTCCAACAAAGAAAATAGATGGTGTCCAACAGCATGTGTTGATCATTAGTTTTAATAGTCTGTGGTAAAATTTTAAAGGTAGAAGTTAATTTGTCAGGCCTTCAGCTCTGTCTTCCTCCAGCTCTTGGGCTTCCTTCTTGGTTTCTCCATCCTTCGCCTCCTGTCGGGAAACTGGGAATTTGTCCTTGTTGTTCTCTTTTTTCCATTTCATTCTCCTGTTCTGGAACCAGATTTTTACCTGTCTCTCCGTGAGGGCTAGGGCGTGGGAAACCTCGATTCTTCTCTTCCTGGTCAGATAAGGGTTAAAAAGGAATTCTTTTTCCAGCTCTAGGGTTTGGAAACGACTGTAGGTTTGTCTTCCTCTTCGTCTACCAGGAGCTGCTGATTAAAAAAAAAAGAAAAGAAAAGAAAAAGGAAAATAAGCGTTTTGGAAATGTCATGGTGCCTCTGCAGGTTGCTGGAGCTTTCTGGAACAAGCTGAGGGATGAAATACACACAAGTCTCTCGCTCTGATATATCTATTTCTATATATATAGAATATGCAGGCAAGAGGAACAGTTAGAGAAGGTCCTCCCGATTGCTCTGTCCGCATCTTTACGCGGTTTCTCTACTTTAAGGGGGAAAAAAAGTATTACTTTATGAATAAGAGCCACTGTAGCTACACGAAAAGGAAAAGAAGAGGGAGAGGGGAAAGGTAGTTTTAAAGCTAGAACGTGAGACGAAAGCAGATTTCTCCCCCTCTCCCCGCATTAAAAATAAAAAAAAAAAATAAAATTGCATCCCAACCTTGTGGTCTCATCCAGGGAAACATTTGAGAAGGAGACGAGCTCTGATTTAAGTGGTCTGGGTCCTCGCCAATATTACCACTGGACGATTTACAGTCAGGATATTGTACCAGCTCGGCCTCTTGCTGGGTCGTAAAAATCGGCTGTCTCTGTAAGTTATCGTATCCGTAAAACTTCGCGGGCTCCCCGTGACAGGCAATCCCGCCGCAGGGGGGAGGCGGCGGCGGAGGCGGAGGATGCGGAGGAGGGGGGGGGGCGGCCTGGTAGGCTGCGGCCGGGCTGCCCCCGCCGGGCTGGAAGTAGTCCTGCCCGGGGCCCGGGCCGCCCCCGCCGCCGCACCCTGGCCGGCGGGCGGCGGCGGCGGCGGCGGCGACGGGTGCGGGTGCGCGTGCGCCTGCGGGGGCGCGTGCGGGAAGCCGGCGGCGCTGTTGCCATAGAGCTGCAGGGCGGCGGCGGCGGCGGCGGCGGCGTGGCGGCTGCCGACCTCGGGCGCGAAGTGACAGTCGTAGTAAGTGGGATTGATGGCCTCGCCCGCCGCGGCCGCCGCCGCCGCCGCCGCCGCGGCCGCCGCCGCCTTGTACTTGGAGTACAGCGGGTTCACGAAGTAAGAGCTCATCGGGGCGGCGGCGGCGGCGGCCCCGGGCGGGCGGCGCGGAGCAGGCAGGGAGCGCGCCTCGGCGCGGCCGCACTGCCGCGGGGGCCTCTGGGGCGGCTGCTCGCGCCGCCGGGGCCGCCGGGCTACGTCGCTGCCGCCGCCGCCGCCGCCGCCGCCCGCCCGCGCGCGCGTCGCCTCTGGGGCCCGGCGGCCGCGGGCACCCGGCTACTGGGCGCTCATGCCCGGCTCCTGCGCCCGCCGCCGCCTCCCTCGCGGGTCGCGGGGCCTCGCCCAGCCCCCGCGCTCGCCGCCCGCCCGGCCTCTCCCGGCGCGCGCCGGCTCGGCCGCAATATAATCGCCGACGCCCGGGTGACCTGCCCCGCTGCCTCCACTGTTTCCTCTCAGGCACCGGGCGGCCCTGAGCGCACGGGGACAAGAAAAAAAGTGCGCCCGGCCCACGGGGACACTCTTTGGCTCCGGCTTACAAACCCCCGCTCTGGAGGGAAGAGAGGAAAAAAAAAAAACCAACACCCTGTGCCCGCCGCCGCCTCTCACCTCGGCCCCCCCGCGGCCCCCTCCCAGCGCTCCCGCCGCCGCCGCCGAGGCTGCCGCCCCGGTGCGCCCCGGCGAGGCATTTTCGCACCACGCCACTGCGCGGAGGGGAAGATGGGGGCGAGATAACCGCGCGGAGGGATCCGCGCCGAGGCGCCGCCGCCGCTCCCGACGGGACTCCTCACGCCGGCCGGGAGATGCCTCCGCCGGCCTTAAAGGGGGCCCATAAAGCCGCACTGCCAAGGGCTCGCCTCGCCCCCCGGGGCCCCGGGACGCGGCTCGGGGCTGGCGCGGCGGGGGCGCGGGAGGACCTTACACTTGGGGGGAGGCAGGGAGGCCACTCCCAGGAGGCTGCGGGAGCACAGGACTCCCTCCGCTGGCCCCTGGAGCAGCCCCCCGAGGCCGGCCGTGGCTTTTGCGCTTCTGGACGCGCGGGCGCTGCAGCCCCGGGGAGCAAGGGCAGGTGGCGTAGACCCACGGGAGCGCCGCGCGCTGGGGTCGGGCCCTCCCAGGGGGGTGGTGAAAGGCCGCGAGGGTGACCCCCAAACCCCAATCCTGGCATCACCAGAGCGAGCTTTTCCAGGCCGTCTTTTCCAGGCGAGCAGGCCTGGTGGAAATAAGATGTACATTTACCCTTGACGCACTGCACGCCTGGCTGAGGCTCCCAGGTTAATTGATATTTAATGGAAATCATGCCCATGAATATAGTTTCCATCATTTCACCCTTGATAGACGTCAGCACCAGGCTCGCGCGGGGGGGGGGGACGACAAGAATGCGGGGCGGCGGGGGCGCGGGGGGCGCGCATTAGCATTGCCGAGGGACTAAATAGAGAAGCGGGCACCGCCGTTTCCAAGGCGGGAAGGAGAACCCGCGCCGGGGTAGGACGCGCGGCCCCCGGGTCTCGGCCGCGGCCTGGAGCCGCCCGGGGCGGGCGGTGGCCGCGGGCGAGGGGCGGGGGTGGGGGGACCCGCCGCCTGTGAGCCCCCACCCGGGGCCCCGGGGCCGCTGTTGGGATCGCGCCGGTTCCAGGCGGCCGAAGGCGGCGCCCAGCGTCTGCTGATGGTTCTGGTTCGTCTGCCAAGCCTGGGAACTTAGTGCCCAGAGCGGGCGCCGGACGCGGCTTAAAAAGTTACTAATTTTTCCCCAAAGGAAGGAAAGCGAAGGCTCATCCTAGCTTGTGAGCCACGAGGAAGAGACACGTCCCGAGTCGCGTGGGCAAGTCGAGCGCGAATCGGCAAAATATTGCTGATTTTTAGGAACCCGCGCAGCGTCACATCACCGTCTTCTCTCCCCCATATTACGTTTAACCCCCTTCTCTACGCGTATTCATGTCCAATAAGTGTAATAAGACGTCTGTACTGTGCATTTTCCCTCGCCCACTCGGCTTTCCTCGTGCAATCTTTAGAGGACCGAGCCCCTCGGCCTTAGGGATCACCCACTGTCGTGAAGGCACCAGGCCCACACCAGCCTCGGGAACTGACCTGGGGCCGTGCCCCGAGCCCGCGAGGACGCTGCCCCTACGCCAGCGCACTTCACGCCGGCAGCTCGCGCCCAACACAAAGGTCTAAGAACCCGAGACGGGCTCCCCCCACCCCCCACTCCCCACCCCAAGGCGCAGCAGGAGGCTCATTTCAACTACCCCCTACTCCTTGTGGGTTGGTCCAGTGTGCGAGTGCGATCCTGAGGTCAGTCCGTGTGCACTGAATCATGTTTTGCAAAAGGAGAAAATGACACCGAGATGGAAAGGCATAGCAAGACAATGTCTAAATACTCTTTCAATTGTTTCTACGGGGATTGGCTGGCAATGGTCAAGGTAAACGGATTGTTAATGAATTTCCAGATGATACAGGCATGCTTTATTTTTATTTTTATTTTAGATTACTAGGGAGTGGAGGAGACCCGGGGCTGGTGGGGCCGGATTTGTTATTGTTCTCTGCCAGAAATCTATCGCCAGGTAAAACTTCCTTGGAACCGGAAGGCGAACAAACCGATTTTGATAGTCCACGATTTGTACTTCAACCTTGCAAATACCCGACTAAAAGGGAATTATTCTCAATAAAGCCTTGGAACCAACATTGTAATTGTGGCTTTTTAAAATTTCAGTGTTCGGCGTGTGCAATGGTGCGCATTTAAACTCTGGATCAATGAGTGGGTTTTGGAACAGAATGGGGAAAAAGAGAGAGCCCAGATCTCAGTAATACAAGGCACCTTCCAGAACCGTGTGATTTCTTGGGTGCAGAAAAGAAAAGAAAAGAAAAGAAAAGAAAAGAAAAGAAAAGAAAAGAAACACAGACACCACGAAATTCATTTCTACCAATTCTGGCCTAATTAAGAAAGCATTACAGCACAACATGTCCTCTTGGGACAAAACATTTAATTCCCCCTCGCCCCCACCCCGTGCATTCTGTTTATAATCTGAATGGGGAAAGAGCGCGATTAACTTTGTAAATAAAGATCTATGCTTTTACACGTTTGTTTTGATAGAATGCATTAACTTAACCATAACATTTTATAGTTTCAGCTGTGCCATAGTCCAAATTTTCTGAAATCCTGACTAATCCAAAATTTTATACCTAACAAACACGCCTGGAGAATTTAATAGTGTACATTGCTTCTTTTTGGTTAAATTTATCCTAATTTGGAATTGAAAATAAGATTGTAAATATTTTAAATCAAAACCTTCCTCGCCGCCGCAGAGCCAGCTTTACGAGGTCACAAAGTGGAGCAACAGCGCTCTCTAGTGGCAAAATGCCGCCTCCAGCCGACCGAGTTTAACTTCCCTTTTTTTTCGACCAGTTCTAATCTTGTTCTTTATTTTGACTGGGGCTTGGATCGCTGACACTAATAATGCTTCATCCCTTTGATTGTCAACAAGTCAAGTGCACTAAGCAGGGGCTCCTGAAAGCCAAAGATACTTGTACTCCCGAGAGCTTCCAATACTGTCTTTCTCAAAAGCTTCCAGCGCTTCTTTTGCCAGACACAGTAGGTCCCCATTCCAGAATCGCCCACAATTAAAGGACAGGCTAGATTGAACAAAAATTACAACTTTCTGAACATCAACAACAGGCTTTTTTTTTTTGTCGGAGGAGCCAGGCACTTTGAAAACGAAGAAATGATAGACGTTCTATTAATATTTTCTTTTAACGCTGAATATTTGGTATTTTAGCTTTGAGATTTTAATCCTTCAGGCCCATTTCGCTGGGCAATCTGAGGGCAGGGGAAAGCAGAAATAGAAAACAAACTAAAGGCTTTCTGCTGGATCTCTGCGTGGCTGTCTGGAGAGGCCCTGTTGGTCTGTGTGTATTGGCATTTCTATATGCAACACACGAGCTTCTAAATTTATATCAAAAGTCACAGAGTGAAATGGATTGACTAAGCATTCCACCTGAATTTTTGTTAAAGCAAAGACTTTAATCAGCTTAGGTGTTCCCTTCGAGGTTAATGTTTTTTTCTCAATTTCAAAAATGTTTTCTTCCAAATCAGCTGTAATGATTACGTTTCTATTAGCAAGGGGATGTAATTTACAACGATACTTTTGCTGCAAAGTTTGGAAGGGAGAGCCAGGTATCCTTATGAAAGGGCATTTAAATAACTTCTTTTTTGTGTGTGTGCCAACCGGCAACCATGCGGCTGGGAGACCCTCGGCTGGAGTAAATGACTCAAGATCACTAACTCTTCCTCCCCCCAAAGAACAGGCTAATTAGAAAGAAAGAAAAAAAAGAGAGAAAGAAAAAGAAAAGAAGGAGCTAGACCGCGGCCATAGTGAAATATTATAAAGAGCCACCCACTGTAGGCTAATTCTGATACCTGGCCCACTTTAAAGATCAGAAATGTATCACGATATCTCCTCTTTCCTACCCTCCCCCATTTTTTTATTTCCTAGGTGCTCACACCTCACTGGGGGCTCCCAAGCCCCTGCCTTCTTGGTCCAACACAGTCTTGTTTATATTTTATTGTCCAGATTTTAAGACCCAGTTTTGTCTGCATTTTTCCCTTCCTCCCACAAACACAACATCAAAATGAGATGGTTTCAAAGTGAAGCGCCGAGCCTGTCGTAAACTCATTACCTCCAGACGTCTCGCCGGCTCGATGGCTTTATGACACCTTGGCTCTTCCTGTTTTCAAAGAGCCCTAGGTATCGGGTTGGCCGCAGGGGTGGGGGTACGCTGCACCTTCTGCCGGATCTGGGCCTTGGCTTTCCCTCCCAGCCTCCCTCTTCTTTTCCTCCAAGTCCCCTTTCATCGGGCCCCCCCCAAACTCTGCCATCGCCCCTGCCCCTTCCCCCCAGCCCAGGGCACCCGGCGCCACCCACTCTCAGGCCTGCAAAGGCTGTGCTGGGCCAAACCCTCACTTACAATGACCTTCATTTTAGCCCCTAAGTGCGGCCCTCAGAGGGCCGATCTGGGAGCTAAGCACACTCGGGAACTGAGTTTGGGCAGCGGGGAGGAGGCAATGAGATGGGGTGGGGGTAGCTGCAGGGGAGAGCCTTGACCATTTCGATCTGCTAAGGTCACTTTGGGGCTCTTGTACGTAGGGCGGAAGCTCACAGCCTAACTGGCTCAGCCCTCCGGGAGCCAGCCAGCCTGAAGAGGTGGGGGAGTCGCTGCAGAGTGCAGAGCTGGTCTCTCCCTTGTTTAAAATGAGGAGCGGATGGCTGGTCCTCCCTGAGCAGAGGGAGACAAGGGGTGTGACGTGCCATCGCCCCAGCCACAGGGTGCCTGGCTTCTGGGGCCCGTGGGCCCTGCTGGGCACTGCTGCAAGGCTGACACCAGGCCTAGGGCACAGAGTTCGCTGAGAAGCTGGAAGCGGGCTGCAGGAGGGAAGGACTGAGCAGCCAAGGGCACCCCGGGGCTGTGCTCTGGCTGGGTCTGCCCAACAAAGGGAGACTCAGGGGCACAGCAGACCCACCTCTCAGGTGGAAGGGCCCCAGATTTTCAGCAGTGTCTCCCTCCCAGGGATGGGAGAGGAGTCCTGTGAGGGTGATATTTTGCAGAGAGACGGAGAAAGCAGGCACACAGTGTTCAGGGCCAGCGTCTGGGCTCCATTTGATCAGGTCAGCATTTATTGGTAGGAAGCGGTAACATTTACAACTGGTTCTCAGGCAGGAACCCAGAGGGCCTCCACGCGCGGCCGCCCACGCAAGCAGAGCCCTCCGAGGAGAGAGTGGCTCCTCCAGTGCACTGAGAATAGACCCCCGACCCACCAGAGGCCCTGGGCTCCCCTCTAGGCCTCCTTCCCCGTCTCAGTGGAGGGCCCCCGGGGCTCCCTGAGGAAAGGGGACCCTCGTAACTAGTGGGCACCCGGTGGGCCTCCCACTGCGGCCGCTCTGCCTTCATCCTCAGAAGTGGGGCACACTTGGCCCCTGCTTGAGCAACGCTGGGATTGCTAAACTACAGCACTTTTCAGAAACCTAGGGAACATTTACACAGGAGAGGGCCCCTCAATCCAGCGTGCACTCACAAAATATAGCATTTCCTATGGAACCAACGTTTCAGTCAAGGGAGGGAGCGGGGGAAAAGGCAAAACCCCAAAGCCACTTCGTTTCTCCGACACATAAGCGAGCAAATACAGAGTCCCCCAAATACCTCACAGAGACCAACCACACAGTCACTTCTACCTAAAAAGGGCGGGGATGGGGGAGAGGAAATGTCCGAATCGCTGGAGAATTTCTGGAAATCAAGCATCCACGAACAAACAACAACAAAAAACCCCACTGCCTTTGCAGCGCAGAGTGGTCCCGCCGGCGCCGCGCCGGGTCAGTCTCCTTTGGGGCATTTCTCCTTGCTCATCTTTTTCATTTTCATTCTACGATTCTGGAACCAGATTTTGACCTGTCTCTCTGTGAGGTTCAGAATCCTTGCCACCTCATAGCGCCGGTCCCGGGTGAGGTACATGTTAAAGAGGAATTCCTTCTCCAGCTCAAGCGTCTGGTATTTGGTGTAGGGACAGCGCTTTTTCCGGGTGGAGCGAGCGTGGATCCAGTTTGCTGCAGGGTTGTCTACGAAGAGGGGGGTTTGGAGAAAGGGATCGAGGGGCGGAGGGGAGGCAAGGAGAGACGACAGGGTGGGGGAGAGAGGTCGTTAAATTAATTTCACCAAGGATGGCCACTTTTCACAACTTGGGGGGAATTATCATAAAAAGCCTTAATGCCCGCGCTGTTTACCGTACAAACCGCGCGCCTAGGGTAGGTGGTTATGGGAAGCTTTTTATGGATGCGTGTTGCTCGCCTAGGCTAGAGTAGGCGTCTAGACGTTTTTATAGGTTAGTAAAACTATCAGTTTTGCACATTCGAGCCTTACAGGTTTCAGCAATAAATCAGGGGGCAATTTCTTTTGCACTTACTTGGGTCAAGTTGCTGCTGCGGCGGCTGCGGATGCTGCTTCTCCTCCTCCTTCAGTGGGCAGCCCGGGCTCGGGTGGTCGCTGCAAGCCGAGGGCTCCGACGAGCCGCCTGCCCCGGCCCCGGCCCCGGCCCCGATCCCTGCCCCGGGCCCGGGTCCCCCAGCCGCCGCTGCCGCCTTGTCCCGTAGGAACGAGTTGCAGGAGAACTCGGGGCCGCCGCTCCCCTGGGACTCCCGGGCCGCGGAGCACTCAGTCCGTTTGGAGGAGGAAGACGTGGAAGTGGAGGAGGAGGTGGAGGTGGCGGCGGCGGCGGGGGTCGGGGCCGCTCCGGTTTCAGGCTTAATCCCGTAGTGGCGCCCGTTGGGTGGGCCGCTGGGGCCGGGGCTGGGACCAGGGCCCGGGCCGCCTCCGCCCCCGCCGCTCCCGCCGCCGCCGCCGCCGCCGCCCGCGCCGCCCGCGCCGCCGGGAAACCCGGGCAGCGGCTCCATCCAGGAGCGCATGTAGCGGCCGGGCTCGGAGGCGGCGGCGGCCAGGGGCGGCGGGGGCACGTACGGGTGGTACAGGCCGCTCATCGCCGCCGCCGCCGGGGGCTGGGCGGGCACCGCGGACCACGAGGCGGAGAACACGGCCGATTTGGGGGCAAAACTACACGAGGCAAACTCGGCGGCGGCGGCGGCCGGGCTGTCGGCCACACCTGTGGGCCTGCCCTGCGCGCCGGGCCCCGGCGGGCCGAAGCGCGCGGCGAACACCTCGTCGCCCTCATGGCCTATGAGCGAGTCCACGTAGTAGTTGCTGAGGGTGCCACTGGAGGACATTTTGAGGCGCCGCGCGCTCCCACCCAAGGTTACACTGCCCGCCGCCGCGCCGCTCCCCGCCGGCGCCCGAGCCGCCGACTAGTTCGCAGGCTGCAGCCTCCACCATTGGTCGCGCGGCCCACGTGATCATATTTACCAATACCGGGAGTAAATCAGTCCGCTAAACTGGGGGCTGCTGTGATTTAAAAAAAAAAAATCATCATCAACATAAGCGCCGCAATTAGAGCCCAGGAGCCCGGTCCGCGCGGCCAGCCCGGTCCGGCGGGGCTCGGCCAGCCCGGCGGCGGCTGCAGCGGCGGCGCCCGACCGCGGCCGGAGGAGGCGCCGGGGACTATTTGTTCGCCGCCTCTTGCCGCCCGCGGCCGTGCAGGTCGGACCGGGCGCTGCCCCCGCAGCCCCGGGACTCTCCGAGCTGCGGGCCGCGCGTCCCGGGCGCCGCGGGCGCTGCGAGCGCCGCTGGGCCGGAGCCCCGAGCGGCCCGGGGCCCGCGGGGCGGCGGCGGCGGCGGGCGGCCCTTCGGCGGCGGCCCCCTGGCGCCCGCGGGTAGTCTCTGCCCCGGGCCGCGGCGCCCCTCCCTACGCAGACCCACACACGCCCGCTCACAGCTTGTCGTGTTGTTTAAAACAGGTGGAAGACCTCTGTAATGATATTATGCCTTTCAATAAAAATTTTATGAGGTGTATTTGATTATAGATTAATGTGTCCCTAATAAAACGGACGGATGGAGCGGCTCGGAGGGCCTCCTCCCCCCGGCACCCTCGCACCCGCCCGCGCAGCCACACACCCCCCGACGGGAGGCGGACACACGCCGCGGCCCGAGGGGTGCGCTGGGGCGGCCTGGCCCCGCCGACCCGGTGCCGCGGCGCCTCCGCTGGGCTGCGGTGTGCCCTCGGGGTGCTGGCGGCTGCAGGGGCGGCACCGCGGGGACAGCGGCGGCCGGGGCGCCTTGTCTTCTCCGGGGCTGCCGGAAAGGCCCTGCAAGAGAACAGGCCAGAGGGCAGAACCCAAAAGCGACCGCGGCCCGCTCCCGCCCACCGCCCCAACCCTGCCTCCCCGAGGCCCGCGGGAAGCGCCGCTCCCCGCGCAGCTCCCCGCGCAGCTCCCCGCGCAGCTCCCCGCGCAGGGCCGCTTCCTGGGGTTGTTCCCGGGCCCCCGTCTCCCCATTTCTTCTTCTTCCTCCTCTTCCCTTTTCCACCCCCCCCCTCCCCACCCTACTTCCAGAAGTGATGCTGGGCAGCCTTGAATCTGAGGGAAATGCCCATTGTCACTCCCAAATCCATGGGACAAAGCCTCGGAAGCCCGGCTGGGAGCCGAGACAAAAGCAGCCCCCGAGAGAGAGCGGGCGGCGGAGGATCTATTCCTCGCTCTACAAGTTGCTCAGAGCACCCTTGGAGGGATCCCAGCCCACCTCGAGCCCCGGAAAGGAAGGGGGTAAATGGCTACTTATGGCCTGATTGATTGCCTTTGCCAAGGGCTTTCTGATTTTGTTCCAGAGGAGATGCCTTTGCCTGTAGCACGGGTTTTCCTCTGAGACGTGGCCCCCTGTCAACAACTAATGGTGCTCCCCACATCGCAGGGACTAAATGGATAAGTTAAAATTGCCCTCCTTCTCCTGCCCAACCAATGGAGGTCTGGGCAAATCTACTCCGGCGTTTCCAACCTGGCCCTGATTCCGAGCCTTCTCTCTGTCTCTCTCCCTCTCTCTCACCCCTAGGAAATGGCTCCCCTCAAGGTTCTGTCTCGGAACTGGGGAAGGTTCTTGGTTTTCAGGGGGAAATTTAAAACTCTGAATAAATACTGAATCTCCCAAAGACTCCCTGGGTGAGAACTGTGAAGCTTAGAGCCCCTGAATACATAGTTTTATGGGGAGAAAAAGAGAAATTGGAAAGGATGTGTTTTGTGAAGCTACTTGAAGCTGGTGGAGACCCTTTGAAAGCACAGCACAACCTGGGGAAACGAATTCTCTGTCAGCTCCTCTCGCTAAGGCCTCTTCTTTCCCCCACGCAGGACTAGATAAGCCTGGACTCTCCCGGTGAAGGCTGGCTAGAGTTTTCCAAGCTGTGTCGGCAGCTGGAACATTGGACTTCATGGGAAGTCACGTTCATTTGCAAAGTCCCTTTCAGTCACCTTTTGTGCATTTTCTTGCCTTCTACATACAGTGGCTCCAACCAGCATTTTATAATTAAATAGAGGGAGCGTTACGTGGGGAAAATCTTTTCAGAAAATTTCGCGTGGGCCACTAAAAGGTAATGACCGAGCATGAAATCATTCCACAGGGAAACCAGGGCAAAGTGGGATGGGAAGACTCACCCATCCTCAGCTTCGTGTGGCCTGGCTTGTCTTGCGCTTGGGATAGGGGTGGGGGTGAGGGAAAGGGGGGGGAAGAACTGGATCCGTTGCAATGCTAGTTGCTGGTTGTCCTGGTTCCTGTAATGGAGGCCCGGCGGCTTCCAGGTGGGCAAGCAAGACTGGTTTCAACCTAGCCCCTGACGATGGCACGCCAGCCAGAAATCATCAAGACCCCACTGAAAGTATTAAAAGAGTAACACAACCAAAACCAAAAACAGGAAAACACACAAATGGGGAGCTGTGAGGAAAAAAGCAGCGTGGCCACAGTCTTACTTACCAGCTCTGGTTAGAGGGAAATCACACGGGTCTAGGATTCAATTATGTTACCATCTTGGGAGGGTGGGAAGGGGCGAAGACTCCCCTTCTTCTCAACTACGAAAACAGCACACCGGGCTGGATGATCACTCCCCCCACCACTGCCAAATTTCAGCACCCTAGGCCTACTCCAGCCTCTCCCATCTTTCTTCTCTATCTATCTATCTCCATCACCACCCCCAACTGCCCCAAACAAGGAGTTTAACAGGGAGATAATCTCACCCAAGGCTTTCATTTCCACCGTAACACTTGTCCATTTCAGAAAGCAGAGGGAGCGAACTCGTTTCCAGAGTTTATTGCATTATACATGCGACCAAAACATGCACAGAAAGGACAGGTTGTTGTTGTACTTCTACCAAACCACAGATGCACCACAAGGGAAGGCTACAAGGCATAAGTCGTCAATATTCCATCTCACCAAGGACAATCGCTAAATTCATTTGCGAAAAGATACATTGTAATGTGCTTTTTTAGTCCCCCTCCCCCAAAGCTTGTGGGTTTTCTTAATCTTTTTTAAATATATATGTAATTTAAGTACTTTTAAGTACTGGATGTATTCAAAAACGCCATGAGATCATGGACTAACCACACACACAGACCTTTTGTGTCAGGAAAAACATGAAAAAGTCACATTGCTGGATGGAATGAATGAACTGATGGATGCTGTACAGTTCCAATAAGTTAAGACCCAAATGAAAATGCGCAGTAATAGTTACCCTGCATTACGATGAAAAAAATAATAAATTACACGTGCTAGTTTTTTTAATATATATATATATATATATACTCATAGGGATTACAGATCACTTGCAGCACGAACAGAATGACCCCAAAGTCACATTCTAGCAGGAAACAAAACAAAACAAAACAAAAAACAAAAGAGCAATGAAGGTTTTGTTGCCGCCTTCCCAGTCCTCCAGCACTCGGCCCTGGAACGCGGTGCCCCCTCTCCGATCCTGGCCTCCGACGGGCCTGGGACCTAAGAGAAGGTGAGGTTGGCGGTCAGTTCTCGGATCCGGTTCTCTCGGCTCATCTTCTTGAGTTTCATTCGGCGGTTTTGAAACCAAATCTTGACCTGCCTGTCGGTGAGGTTAACGCTCTTACTGATCTCTAGGCGGCGCTCGCGGGTGAGGTACATATTGAACAAGAACTCTTTTTCTAATTCCAGCGTTTGGTGCTTAGTGTAAGGGCACCTCTTCTTTCTGCCACTCTTTGCAGTGAGCCAATTGCTGGTTGGAGTATCAGACTTGATTTCCTCTAACAAAATTAAAGGGAGAAGAAGAAAAAAAAATCAAGAATTTTTTTTTCTCAGGCTTTTCAAATGTACCCTTGGCCATGACCCTGCTGGCAGCCAGGCCGCTTTGGGAAATGCTGGTATTAAACATTACTCATATAAGGTGGGCCCTGGAAGGGATTTGTAATTGATGCCAGATTAGTTTAAATGCCCAAAATGACACGAGGGCGGGTACTCTTGCCTTCGGTGTCAGGGTTCTCTCTCTTTCTGTCTCTTTCTCTCTCAACTTTCTGACCTGCACGGAACATTAGTACAATAGTAAACTTTCAGGATCTCCCCAGCAGCATTCTAAGTGGGCAGCTCATAACTGGGCTGGAGTGGAAAAAGCAAACCAGAGCCTGAACAAGACTACCAATCCCACTGCTGCCTCACATCCCCAAGTCTGCCACTTCTTCCCCACTTTTCCTGCACAGGCGGGGAGCCCCACAACCAGGCTTATAGTGGCCCTTCTCTTTCAAAAGATAACCAAGGAACCGAGTACACCTTCTCCGACCTGCCTGGGCATTGTACTCCCCAGAATTTCTTGCATTCTCATTCCTTCTTGTCCCCACACAAAAGCATTCCCCCCAGAAATGGGGCTCCTTACTGTGGCCCACCTCTGGACACTGGGGGAGAGGCATAGGGGCAGGGTTCCTTCTCAAAAAAGCCAGAGCCCCTGGCTCTTTGCCCCAGCCCAGCCCTAAGGCTGGCCCTGCCGGGGTGGGCCCTGCATATTCCATCCTTCCCCCCCTTCAGCCTTTGCCCCTTTTGCAAATGGACTGCAAAGCTTGCGGCACTTTCCCCAGACAAAGCCAAGGTTACTTAACCCCGCAGAGGCTGGGAGCCCTCTTCCCCAGCCCAAGCACCAACCAGCCCAGTCATTTCGTTCCCATTGCCGCCCCCAAGCTCGCAGGATGCGGGGTGCATACACTTGAACACGAACACGGTGCCTTTGACCACCTTAAAATCATCGTTGGGTGAAAGGCAAAGCTGGGACTGCAAATCTGAGAAGGAGAAAGGAGGTTCTGGGGCCGTGTTTACGAGCCGCAGGTCTCATTTGCCCTCTTTTGTTGCATTTCAGGTCTAGCTCAGGAAAAATAAACCCGGCAAGCCCTTCCTCTGCCCAGGCGCCATCAGCGTGGGGCCAGGACTAGCCAGGAGGGCCAGGGCAGCCCGGGAGAAGCGGGGACCATCTCGAGACTGAGACTGCCCCTCTAAAAGCCAGGAGGAGCAGCACCTGCCAGTCGGCCCCGCCTCAGCTGCCCGGGCTCGACGCTGGGCACCCAGGCGCTCCCTCTCTGCCGGCTCCCGGGCTGCACGCCCCGCTGGGGTGGCAACTTGCTCATACCGACCTTTGCTTTCCTTCTCCTGTACTTCGGGACTGGACACGGAGACCTCAGCCAGGCAGCTCCTTTCTTCCGGAAGGCCGCCCTTGGCCTCGGGGCTCTCCACCTGGGAGACTTTGGTGGGCTCCTGGCCGCTCACGGGCTCGTTCATCTTCTTTTCCATCTGCAGCTGGGCAGCCGAGAGCTGCGGCTTGGCCGCGCCGCGAGGGTTGAGCTGGAGCATGACTGTGGAGCTGCCTTCGGGGCTGTTATTGTACTCTTGGGTTTTCCCGGTGGCGTAGGTCTGACTCAGTCTAAAATATCCAGGGACAGGAACCTCGGGGTTCTCAACGGGACAGGACTCAGGGACCAGCCTCTGGTACGAAGGGACCTCAGCAGAAATGAGTTTGTTGCGCTTATCAGAATACATGCAGCAATTGGATTCTTCCTTAATGTTGGTGGTGAAGGAGCAAGTGGGGACTTGCTGTGTAACAGGTTGCTCTATTCGACAAGATCTGTTCGGGTCTGTCCAACTGTCTACTTGAGGTATATAAGGATGCACATTCATACCCATATTTTGGTGGTTCACTTCTCTTTTGGCCAGAGACGGGAGCAGTCCACAGGTTTGCATTCCATAGGTCCCCATGTCTGCGCTAGGTGGTGGCATGTACATGCTGGCGCTGCTCGAATAAAAACTGTCACTCCTGCAGGCACTGATCAAGGAATCTACTAAAAAAGTATTAGCAGCAGGAGAGCTGTTGGGAAAGGACATTTTGGGGAGGAATTTGAAGAAGAGAGATTGTGTCCTTTGTAGGCTGACATCTCTAGGAAAACATTCCCCGTGTAATTGTGGATGCCTCTGCCGACCACATGACAACCAAGCCAATGAGATTTGAAAATGGCCTTGAGCCGCAGCCTCCTCGCAGGTCACGTGCTCCGGAGCCCGGCCGGCCGGCCGCGTAAGCACGGACAACAGCGACATCTACTACGCGCCCGCGATAGTGCGCGCCGCAGACAACCGGCCCGGCGCTCCCCGGCGCCCGCCGGCCTCCCCGGGGCTCGCTCCGCCGGCCGGCCCCACTCGCGCCCCCCGCCCCGGCCTCCGGGCCCCGCTGGCGGAGGGAAAGGCTCAGCCCGGGAGGGAAGCCGGGGCGCCGGGGCGCCGGGGCGCCAGCGCGCAGCAGCACTGCCCCGCACACACCCGGGCGGACCGCGCCCGAGCGCCGGGGCGCGGGCGGGGCGGGGCGGGGGGGCCCGGTGGCTCACGCTCTCCCGGGCAGCCTGGGAAGGTGAGTCGGCTTCCCCGGGCCCCGAGGCACCCCACCCCCGGGGGCCACACTGCAGGGCGCGCTCGCCAAGACGCGGCCAAGTTCCCGCGGGGAGCGGAGGCGACAGGGCGGCGAGGGCTCAGAGGCCAGGCAGCTGGCCAGCCCCGAGCCCCGGGCCCCGAGCCCCGAGCCCCGGGCGGCCCTGGCGCTGTCCGGTCCCGCCTCCGGCGCGAGGGGCTGCGGGATCCCGGCCCCTCCGCGCCCCGCCGGGGCTGCGAGCCTTCGGCTCTCGGAGGACCCACACCCCGACCTCTGCGGCCGGGCCGCTGGGAGCTTTCAGCGGGAGACAATCCCTCGCCAGCAGCTGGCTGTCCTCGAAAGCGTCCCTCCGGTTCACAGCGGGAGAACCACCTCGAGGTTTCCCTCCCTACACACCCTGATAATAATGAGCAGAGAGGAAGGAAGGAAGAGAAAAAAGATTGTTTTTCAAAGAGAGGGGGAAACTCTCGCCCTCGGACTCCAGAAGTTTTGGAAAACTGACTGGGCCGAGTAGGAGAGAGAGAGAGAGAGAGATGCAAAGGTGTCATTTGGTTCTTCTGCAAAAAAAAAAAAAAAAAATGTTTTCCTTTTATGGATTTTGTAAAAGCATTGGTTTCTGACAAGTGCAAGGTACAAAAGGTTGTGGAATTTATTAATACATATTAAGAAGAATCAGGGCGATCAATAAAATTCTCATCTACATTCTTGGGCTACTTGGTAATTTTCTTGCTTCTGAAGGTTTTTAAAGAGTTATACCCGCTGTTGCCACACACGGGAAGATATTTTATTAACAAATCAATCGAGACTTTGTAAAGGATAAGATTAATAGTTAAGATTTAGCATAATGGCGTTCGCTTTATGAATTATTGAAAATTATACTATTGATTTTTCCCCTTCGCTACCAACCAAGAAGGTCAATTTTTGTTTTAACACAAATCGTCAAATAGTAAAAGCTATACTTTTGTCAGGAGTTGAGTTTTATAGTTTTGGACAATTCCTAAAATTATTTGACACCGGTTTGCTTGGGTGAGGGGAGGGAGGTAAAAAAAAAGGAATTGGGAGATTCTTGGTCCTCTGTTTCCTTTGGTGACGGAAAGTTCTATAAGAGGATTTGGTCTGGGGTTGTGGTCGAGCTCATTAAAGAACAACCACCATCACCACCATGGAAACTCAGAGTTTTATGAGAAACTTCTCCAACAACTTCCTTTCTTGTTCTCTGGTTGCAGGCGGGTGAGCCGCCCTTCGGAAGCCCCGGCCTTGGGGCAGCAGCGGGGAGCTTTAACCTTGATTTCCAAAGGCTTGCCCGGGTTGAGGGGCCGGGCCAGGGCACGGGAGCCATCCCCGGGCTTCCCAGATCCCCTTCCCTGCACCCGAGAGACGAAGGGGGCCCCAGAAACCCTGATCGTGAACCAGTTCTCTGTCCGGGAAGGCGTCTGGGCTCTCTTCTCCCCACACTCGCCTGGCCTTGGATTTCAGGCCCAGGGACTGAACTTGTGGGCAAATTGGGTTTCCGCCTCAGCAGAACATTTCTTTGGAGCCCGATGCTCATTAAAGCGCCTCGGCATTCTGCGGGGGAACCAGGAGCCTGCTCACTCCTTCACAAAAACCTTTTCCAACAAACCCTCTGTCCCCCCTCCCTAAAAGGACTCTCCCCTGGCCTGGTGGAAACAGGCGCTGAACATTATTTTCGGCCTTGGGACCACTTTGCCTGTCGCCTCGAAGTGCCCTCGCCCAAACAATAACCCCTTTTAAAAAACTCCGCGGTGGCAATGAGACAGACCTTTTAAACCTTTACGCAGCTGTTCAAATACAACATCATTGTCAGGTTAAAAGCCTGGCGCCTCTAGCTGCTCCGGCTGCGGGATGCCGGCCGGCGAAGCCCGAGGTTTAAACATTACCTTTCCGTAGGGGTGGCTGTTTTTAAGCTTGAAGATGGGGTGGGGGGGTGGGGCGCGGGTAAGGAAGGCAGGAAAAAAAAAAACTTTTGCCTCTGGTCTGCTATGGTCCTGTTCAAAGCTAACAGCCACTGATCAGCACCCCAAAAATGGTTTTATCAGACGGTGGAGATCACGATCCCGGCCCCAGTTAAGCGTGCCCAGGGCTGGACAAAGTGCCCGCTGCACACGCTCTCGGCAGGCGCCCTGACGCCAGCCTGGCGCTCCAGGACGGTCGTCCCTCTGCATCTCAGCCAGGAGAGCTGCCTGGAACTCGGCTGTCCAATTCTCCCTATCCTACTCGTGAGGCAGGACTGTTCAATCTAATCGGGAATTTTATGCCCATCAAAAGCCCTTTCATAATCTTTATTTATACATGAAGAAAACATTCAGGCTAAAACCCAGCCATTCCTCGCGGAGCGGGTAGGTCTGCGGTGAGCCAGTACAAGCAGGATCTGCCTTCCGAATTTGGGGGCCTTTCTGTTTCAACTCTCAGTGGCTTCAGGCTCTCAGTCACCCCCACATTAGGTCTGGCTTGATGTGGGTCTTCTTCATTCACAGAAAATATGTGTATTGCCTATAATTTTGAATCTATTATCACTAAATTCTATTTTATTCTTTCTCAAATATCTGCCTTCAGACCAGTTCCCTGAGGCCAGAGACTCCAGTATTTCAGAGAAATTTTATAATAAAAATGGAGCAAAATAGAAATAATGCAAGAGAATGATATAGACCTGGGAGGATGGAAAGTTTGGCTGAGACTCTAAGGGTAGGATGAAGCAAATGGAATGAAAAGGCAGTGCCTTCCAAGGCCAGCCTGTATTTTGCTTACGAGTATTTAATGTAGCTGCATAGCTGCTGTTTTCGATCATCTTTAGATCAGTTGGAGCAGTTACCATTAATAATAAATCAATATTGCACTATAAAGGAGATGAATATCCATATTTGTACCAAGACCTCCTTCTCCCTGGCACAGCTCTTTCCCGAGAAAAAATTAATAGGGTCGCCTTCGCAAGAAATTAGCATTTGTAATCAAGAAGTGGCCTGCATCTGCGCTCCTCTGTCACCAGGAAGAACAGTGACCCTGGGCCTGAGTAGACCTGAGGACTCCTAGGCTTGCCCTGAATTTGGGCCCTTAGTGGTCTCAGGGCTGTGCCATTCTTTGGGGGCAGAGTGGATGGGGACGAATTTTAAAGGCTGCTTCCCCAGGGAGCCCCTCCAGGTTGCACTGTGCACCTTCCAGCCAATGTGAAAAGAAATCAAGGGGGCAAATGGGCAGGCTGTGGAAGCCACCACCAACCCAGTGAAGAGTCTGTGGGGACGGTGCAAAAGGGCTGGCTGCTGGGGAGCCTTTTTCAGTTACAGACACAAAAGACTCCTACTTGGCGCACTTTCCCTCCACCTCAGGATCTGAGACCTTGGTGACTCAAGAGACATGGCCTCGCTCCTTGAGCCCCACCAGCTCTGAGCAATCAGGAGGGGTCGGGTCTGCAGCCCCCCAAGTCCTGGTCCGATGCTCTGTCCTTTCTCAGGCCCATCTTGGGCACTGCTGGCAGGAGAGGAACCGCAGACTGCTGAGCACCCGTTGTCTGAGGAAGGCTGCCAGCCAAGGCCAAGGGGCCCTCAGAAGCCACACGCGCCCCTGCTGGACCCGCCGGAAGAGGAGCACAACGACATCTGGGGAGGAGGGCTCTCTCCCCACCTGGCCTGAGACCCAGGTTAGGCTCTGAGAAATGTCGCTTCACGGGAGCCAAGCAGGACCCGCGGTCAGACAGGCGGGAGCCACGGGGGCCTGTGGGGAACACCTATGCCTCTGGCTGGCGCCTCACTGGGGGGCTCATGGCGCTCCAGCCTCCACTGACGCCGATGCCAGCTCCCAGGGGTGGGCTCAGGGCCTTTGGTCCGGGGTTTGGAGAAAGGAGACAGAGGCGGCAGAGCCAAGGAGGCCAGCACTGATTCTGGGGGTTGCTGGCGCTTCACGATGAACTTCGGGCCAGAAGGGACGGCCACCCTCCCTTAGAACAGCCCGTGTCCTGGAGCCCTCCCTTTTGGAGCCTCTCTTTTGGACGGAGGATGGTGACACGGGCCCTCCCCAAAGTCCGGGGCTGTGCGGAAGGGGCGTGGGGGGCCGGCAGGGCGTGCAATGAGAAGGCTGCTGCCAAGAGCTGGGGCCAAAATCACATTCTGTGCTCCAGTCCCGCAGGCGGCCGCGCAGAGCGGCCGGGCTCCTGTCAAATGCAAAGCTCCGTGGCTTCAAATGCAATCCCCTTTCTAAGCCGCTTTGCCTCGCAGTCCAAACGCTCCCGGGCCGGCCTGCGGCTTCCCGCGGCCGCGCCAGCCCAGCTGGGCCCAGACACCCCAGCTCAGGGTTCGGCCGGCGCCTCTCGCTGCCGGTACCCCCGGGTGCCAGGCATGGCCGGGGTGGGGGGCACTCCCTGGCCCACAACGACCCCCTCGGGCCCGACGCGTCTCATTTTCCCTGAGACCACACCAAGCTAAGTTGCCGGCGCCCCGATCTGTCTTAAACAAAAGCCTTTTAATCATCCCCGGCGGTCGGTCGGTACAAGGCGGACCCTGCTTTTGGGGAGGAGCAGGTCCTACCCTCATATCGTTCTCCATACTCAAACCAACAAGAACATTAATTTCCCTCATTGAATCAACTCGCAGTGGCATGACCTATTTCGAAATGTACCTATTCGTCTTTAAAAAAAAAATCTCTCCTTGACACCACCAGGCTATGGCAAGGTATTCTTTGCAACAGCGTTATCTTGGAGGGGACAACGATTGGGTGATTGTCTGTTTCAGGAATCCGGGTAGCTCCCTTTTCTCTGTCTATACACAAGTTCGCACACCTCGTGGTTGCTTAGAACAAACAAACAGCAAACAAATACTTAGTGGCCGCCTGTTACTAACGGGCTGAGATTGCCTATTAGAATCACTATTGGAAAGATAGGGTACCGCGGCCTCTGCGCCAGACGCGGCTTCTGGAACGTGAGCACGCCCCCGTGTGGCTCTCCGAGGCCATGCAAACGGGAAATGGTATCTCTTGGTTCGGCTTACCCAAGGTGGTGGACACACAAGCTTGCTACATTTAGACGCAGTTAAAAAAAAAAAAAAAAGATAGATGGAGAGAGAAAGAAATAAAGCAGTTTTAAGCTCCTGCAACCATCATACTACTAGGGGATTGACATTTTAACGGACGCCCAGAATTCCACACAAAGGAATCCCCTTCCCAACGAAATTATTCGATTGTAGGCTTTGTTTCTCTTGCCATTTTCACCAAAGGTTGAGGGACACTTTGGAAAACAATATAAATATTTTCAGTTTTGTAAAATGAATATTTTCATATTCAAAGAAAGTTCGGTAATTTATCTGACGGGGTAACATTTTTTTTTTTCAAATATAGCGAAGCTGTAAATCTGACTAGAGCTTCCTCTTCCAAATGCCTGCTTTTAAAGCCGTGGTTTTTCATTAGAGCAAAGGGAATTGCTATCTATGACCCCCCCTCCAAAAAAAAAATCCACCTCAGTATATATACCATCTGTATTTAAAAAAAAAAAACATGCTGGTAGACACTTAAATCTAACCAGTATTTTAAGAAGAAGTCAAGTGCTATTGAATTACACAAATGTTTGAAGGGAAATTAAGGTTATTGATCCTGAAATTAAGGCATTTGCTTAGATTTATGGTGAGCCCCTGATATGATGCTGTGTGGTCATAAATGTATGTGGGGGTCTGGAGGTGTGTAAGCATGTGTGTGTGAGAGTGGGTGGCGGCTGAATATCACAGAAGAACCTTAAGGCGCCTAATTATTCAGAAAGGTTAAAGGTGATGACCTTGACATTTTGGAAGTTCAAAGGCATACACTTATGCACTTATGTTTTTCCTCCCCCCCCAAACTTTTGTAATTAAAAAAATTTTGCATTTGGAAATGCATACCTCCTCTGCAGATGCATGGAGTACTGTACATCTTATGGATTTTTTTTTTTTTACTTTGGGCTTAGAAGAGGTTAAGAGTCATGATTCACTTTACTTTTTTCAGAGGGAGAGATGCTTTTCTCACTCCTACAGTTTATTGCACATTGCGGAAATCTCTTTTGGGCCCACCAGAAGGTGTATAATATAACCCAATTAAGCTGTTTAGAACTTTGGCTTTTATGGTGTTGTCTAGACAGTTCAAGGTTTTGTAAACAGCCTGGCCTGGCCCTGCAACATAAAGTGCAGTTCAGCCCCCACCACATTCTTTAACTTGAAGCGATAAATGCAGTGAGAAGTGGGTCTGCAGCCTCAGGCCCTATTCCAGGGAGGGGTCTTCCCTTCTCTGCCGTATGCCTGCTGTGACACTAGCAAGGATCCCAAGCCCTCTCCCCACTGGTAACTTCCGTTTTAGCAAACCATTATTTTCCATGAAGGTTTCTAATTTTGGTTGCTTTTTTTTTTTTTAAGGGACCCTGGCTCCTTGACATCTTGTTAGGAGTAAATTTGTATTTTTCTAACAATTTTTTAAAAATGGTTTTTGTCTTTTCAGAAATTCCAAGTTCACTACACTGGGAATGGGAGGAAGAGACTTCCTTCTTAAGGTTCCTGCTGCCCCAGCCTGATTGCCTGGAGAAAGCAGCCCCAGAATGGCTGGGTTAGATCCCCAGTTCAGAAATTCATCCCTGAAGTGATTTTTAACAAATCAGTGTAGCCTAGAGAGGGTGGGAGAGAGCTACTCTCATTTCAGCAGGATTAAAGAGCATTTCACTTGATTTTCAGTTGCATATGGGAGAAGGTTCTGACCACTAAAATACCCTAATCAGACACTAAACTTCTTTAAAGAGGAAAAAAATCATATAGTGTGTTCAAGCTGTAACCTCCATTTTACTAGAAACCATTTATTCACACAAAACACAGTGACTTATGCCTTGATACGACAGACCAAAGATACATTTCCCAGAGTTTAAATAATCTGCATTCACCAAGGGGGATGGCCGGGTCCCTTAAACTCAGAACAAAAACAAGTGCCTTCCAGCCCAGCGGCCTAACTCTCTACAGATCCCACAGCGTCCCCACGGGGACTCGGAGGGAGGGAGCGAGAACAACAGCACATTGGCGGTAAAATTGTAAAGGGACGTTTGCATTTACCATTTTCCCCTTATTAGGATCCATTCGGCCAAGTCCCCGGCCTCGTCGGCAGGCAGCAGTGGTCGCTGGGAGGTCCCGAGTTGACCGTGGGAAGGAATCGTGGAGTTCCACAGAGAAGAGGCGTCATTAAACCCAAGGACATTGGGCCTGCCGAGGGCAGGCTGGTGGGGAGGTGGGTGGGTGAGTGGGGCTCTGGGAGAGGGGTGCTTCCTGGAGCTCTCAAAATAAGGGGTTTCCAGTGAAATACTGCAGACGGTCTCTGTTCAGTTTCTTTTCTTTCATTCTACGATTCTGGAACCAGATTTTGACTTGCCGGTCAGTGAGGTTGAGCATCCGAGAGAGTTGGAGTCTTTTCTCTTTGTTTATGTACACGTTAAAGAAAAACTCGCGTTCCAGTTCGCGGATCTGGTACTTGGTGTAGGGACAGCGCTTTTTCCGGGACCGCTGGGGGGCCACTGCAAGGCAAAGAGACCAAGAGGTGAGAGAGGCGGCTGACTGCCCACCCCCGGCCGCCTGCCCGCCGGCCCAGGCCCGCGCGAGGGCCAGGCCTCGGCCCCGTTGGGGACGTCCCCTGCCGCCACTGAAAGGCCCTGCCTGCGTCGTGGGGGATGATATATGGGCGGGCACAGGAGAGAGTGCGGGCGTGGACGTGTGTTCACGCCAGGACACACACACACACACACACACACACACACACACACACACACACACCGTGGCACGGAGGTGGAGAAGCAGAGGGCGAGGCCGGCTCTGAGTTGGAACCCGAAGGGAGAGAAACCCGAGCGCGCCCAGGCATCTGCTCTACTCCAACCAGCAGCGCGCGTCAGCCAGAGGCTTGGATAAAGTCCAGTTCGAGGATCTCCCCACCCCACCCCCCCTTAAAAGCAGGAGGCTCGAGTGTCCACACTCACAAAGTGGCTTGAAATCTCCCCCCACCTCACTCCAAGCTCTCCAGCACCCCCACCCCCCTCCAAACTGGGGAAAAGCTCTCTCCGGCGATTAATGTCCCCTTCGAAGTCTACCTTAAGCCCACCTAAATTGATTTCCTATCGTAAACACACTTTACAACGGCCCGGGAAATCTTATAGGATGTATAAACCCCTTCGAACGCTTATAAAGTAGCACATAAAACGGCGCGAGCAGAGGGAGGCCCCCGCCGCCCCCCCGCGCCCGCGGCCCGCGGCCCCCGGCCCCCGGCCCCGCCGCCCGCCCCGCGCCGGTGCCTACCTGTGCCGCCACTCTTCTCAGCCCCCGCCTCCCCCGGGGGCCCCTCGCCGTCGCCGCCGCCGCCGCCTTCTGCCGCCCCCTTGGGCTCCGAGCCGGGGGGCGCCTTGGCGCAGGGGCTTCCCCCGCCGCCGCCAGCCCCCGTCTTGGGGTCGCCCTTGTCGGCAGCGCCCTCGGGCTGCGGCGGCGCGGGAGGCGGAGGGGGCTGCGGCCCGGCGAACGGGGGCCCGGGAGCAGCCTCGTAGAACTGGTCGAACCCCTGCGGCAGGATGCCGTTGCGGCCCACGGCGCTGTAGAAGTTGGAGGCGGCGCCCGCGGGGCCGTGCGGCGGCCCGGGCGCGGCGCACACCGGCTCGGGCGCCTTGAAGAGCACGTCCGGCCGGCGGCCCGCGGGAGGCAGCAGCTCGCGCTGCATGGCCGCCTCCTCGGCCGCCGCCGCCGCCGCCGCCGCCGCCGCGGCCGCCGCGTAGTAGGGAGCGTAGCCCCCGGCGCCGCCGCCGCCGCCCCCGCCGGGGCCGCCCCCGCCGCCGCCGCCCCCCGCGCCGCCGCCGCCGCCGCCGCCGCGGTACGGCCACTTGGCGCGCTCCAGGCCGTAGTCGCGGAAGGCCACTTCGCGCACGGGCTGGACGTGCGGCGCCAGGTTGGAAGAGTAGGGGAAAGTCATCTGGCAGGACGACGGCTGCGACAGGAACGACGGCTTGCTGGCGAAGTCCGACGGGGCCACATAGTAGGCGCAGCCCGGCAGGTACATGCTGGCTGCGCTCGGGCCGCACTCATCAAAGTCGTTCATGGCTCCGCGGCGTGCGCGCCGGCGAGCCCGGGCCGCTCCCCGCGCCGCCAACCTGAGCCATCGATTGCACAAGAGGCTTGGGCCAGGATCAACTAAGCAAAAATCCCCACCGGGCGCTGACGTGCAATTCATCTTGATTGATTCTGGTGGTAATTATGTCACGTGACGCCATGGAGAGAAATGTCCTTATATCTATATCAGCTCTCGCCAACACGCCCCGGGACGGCTCCTGGCGCCGAGACGCGCGCGCTGGGGGCGGACCAGTCTCCCTCTCCAGCCGGCGCTCCCCGGGCGCCCCCTGACCGGGCTGAGCCGCAGGCCGGTCACCTGTGCGCCGCCGGCGGCCGCCACTGCCGGGTGCATCTGCCACCGCCCGGCTGGGCCGCCCGCCCGCGCCCGCCCGCCCGCGCCGCTTTAAGTACGCGGACCGAGGCCGGCGGGGAGGAGGAGGGAGGGGGAGGAAGGGGGGGAAGGGGGAAGGGAAAGAAGCGGAGAGCAGAGGGGGGAGCCCCAGCCCGGGGCATAGGGGACTAGGTGTGAGGTTGTGAGGTTCCCACCCCCACACCCTTTCCTGCAGCCGCTCCCTCCCCCGCGACGCCGCCACCCTCTGCAGCTCGCCGGTCAGGAGCTTGTTGCTTCTTGTTCAAGGGGCGTAATTGCGCCACTCTCGGGGCGCACGGAGCCCTGATTTACATATTTCTTAGCCCTGCGCCTTCAGCGCAGAATAACTTGGTTCTCTCCACTCCTGACCCCCGGAGCGCGAGTGCCAGCCTCGAAAAACCCCACGCCAAAACCGTGCCAGGAGCTCACCCAGGCCAGGGCCTCGGTGCCCAGTCGGACCTTTCGCCCTCTCTCCTCCTCTCTCTGTTCCCATCTCCTTTTCTCCTTCCCTCCTTTCCATTCAGTCTTCTCGCTTCTTTCTCGCCTGTCCTCTCTTCTCCGGCTTCCTTCTCCTGTTCCTTCCAGCCTTCTTCCTTCCTCTTCCTTTCCTCTGCCTATCTCTGTCCCCTGATGCTCTCTCTTCCTCTCCCCTAGCTGTGTGCCACCACCCCTGTCCCCTCTCTGCCTTTCCTCTCCCAAAGCTAAAGCAAGGAGGAAGTTCAGACCTCGGAGACTCCCGGTGGCCCTCCTAGAAGCTGGGGGGTCTGGTGAACAAAAGGATCCCGAGTCCTCCTACTCTAAAGGAGCCTGGCCTCCCACTCCCCACCAGCCCCAGACCAACTGTGGGTGCCTCCACCCTCCTCACCCTCTCTGCTTTTTGGTCTGGACCGGGACCAGCCCGCCTCACAACCAGCCCCTTCCCTGCGTCGCAGCCCCGCCAAGGCCTAGGCATCCATGCCGCCAGCTCTCCCCTAGGCTCCTGCGGTGCCCTTGGGCCCGCATGGTCACTTCGGGGGTGGGGGGGAGCCCCCGGGAGGTCCGTTGGCCCTGGGGAGGGGGCGAAGTGGTCTCAGCAGCTCTTTCCTCCTGGCTTGAGCCTCTCTGCAGCACTTGGCCCTGAGAACCCCCCATCCATGTGCCCCAAGGCCTCACTTTCCTCCAAGGCCGCCATCTCCCTCTTTCCTAGCCCTGGGGGCCAGGCGAGGCCTGGACTCCCGCCTGCGGGAGAGCCGGCGCCTTCCAAAGGTAAAATCAGTCTCTCGGAAGGAAGCTCCCCAAACCCGAATCCCAGAACCGAGGTCAGAAAGTCGGCCCTCTCCCCAAGATTCCTCTGCCCAGGCAATCCCCGCACTGGGTTCTGGGCCTCAGCCCTACGCCCAGGGTAGGTGGTGCGGGCTGTGCAGCTGGTTCCCTCCCTGGCCCGCGCCGCAGTGCCCGTGTGGCCCGCTCTGCCCACCGAGCCGACAGACAGAGAAAAGGCGGGTGATCCCAGCTCATATCTATTTTCTGGCCGCTGTCCCCCCCTTCTCTTTTTCTCCTCCCTCTTTTTCTCCCTCCCACTCTTCCTCCGCCCCCCTCCCACCTCTGCTTTGCTCGGAACACTGCGCAAACAGGTCCGTGGCGAGTGGAGGCCAAGGAGGCTCCCCCCGCCCCAGAACTGCCCACCGTTTCGTGCACCCTCCTCCCAGCTGGCACCCTCGCCCAGCTCCCCGCTCGCCCCTTTCTCCTCCGAGCAGACCGCCCGCGCACTTATCTGCCTCCCATCTCCATCGCCCGCCCCAGCCTCTCCCTTTCGGGCTCGTGGTCGACGCCCCTGGATCTCTCTCCTAAAATGGCTCCCCGGACACTGCACACTGGCCCTGCGGCAGCTCAGGACCCAGGGCAGCGGCAGCGGCCCCCCCCCCCAGGCGGGTCTTTACGTGTCTGGGAGTGCGCATAATTCTCGCACCTTCTCTTTGCACAGGGTGGGGCGCGGGCAGCCCGCTGCCCCCAAAGCGGAGCCTGCTGACCGCTGGAGAGGGAAATGGGGAGGACGGAACCATTCAAGTTCAACGACATGGCGATGGCGGCTCAGGCTGGAGCCGCGCTTTGGCGGGGGAGGGCGCGCCATCTGCAGCGGCGCGCGGGTGCACCCGGGAAGGGGCCGCCGACCCCTCTCGGCTCCGCGGCGCGGGCGCCCGCCCCCACGCCCCACCTGGGGCTTTCATTCCGGGCCCAGCCGGCTTCGGCCCTCGGCCCCCAGCTTCCTCCTCGACCCTCACCCCCAAACCTAAGGAAAAGCGCAGCCCCCCGCCCCGCGCGCCCCGCGAGGACCTACCGTGGAGCCTCCGGCGTTGTGGCCTGGTCCTTGCCCGCGCGGCCCCCACTCGAAGCGTGCGGAGCGCATCCGACCCTCCGGCACATCCAGCTGCTCCGCGAGCGCTCGCTTTCCGCGCAGCGCCCAGACGCGATGCGGTAATTTTGAGCCACCCAAGATAAGACACTAACTTGACCTTAACTTTGTCAGGGCGCCCCTGGTATCTGGAGAACGTGAACAGACACTGTCTGGCAGCTCTCGTAAAAGCTGACTGGGGAAGGGATTCTGAGTCATTTCATTTATTGCCACTACAGTCCTGCAAGAAGGCTTTTCCTCCCTGCCAAACTTTAATTATTTATGCTCTTTTAGGAAACGAAAGAAGAGGAGAAACGCGAGGGAAAACACCCAGAGCCAGTCCCTTCCCTGCAGAGCCTTCGGAATGGGCTCCCTAAGTCAAGTGACTGGAGAACAAAAATGTGGGGAGATCACCTTTGTCCAAGGACGGTCGGACAGGCGCGGTGCCCCCCCTCCTCCCGAGGGGGGGTGATTGCAGCTGGGAGAGGCGGGGTGAAGAGGCACCCCCCCCCCCCGCAGACATGAATATTTACAACGGTTCCGGATTTCTCCTCCACCCGCCGGCCTCCCGGAAGCCTCCCCAGCCCGCCTCCCTCGGGGAGAGCCCCCAGGCCTTAAGAGTCCCCCCGTCGGCCCTCTGAGCTTGCAGCTGGTTGAATGCTAGCCGAAGCCATTTTTTCTCGTTTAAACCCCTTCTTCTTGGTCAAGAGGCCTGCCTGGACTGCAGCATTTTGGAGGACGCATTTGTCTTTGTGCGAGGGAATGTTGAGCACTCAGATTTCAGCATCATTTCTCTCCGCGTTTGTTTCTTAGGAATTTCGCCGTGGTTCCAAATCCCTGCCAGGACCTTGGCTAGGAAAGGAGAGAGGACACCACCGCCTTTGTATTTGTGCAGATCAGTAAAGGGGACAAATTTGAAAAAACACTGCTGAAGCCCCAACGGACAACCGAGATTTTGCACTTAGAATAATTTCAATCTCTTTGGGGAGTGGTCTCCATGAATTTCTCCTCCCACCCCACATCCCAGGCTAAAGAGAAAAAACGTGATGATTTAATGGCATACATTGGAAAGAATCGGTCTCTCTCTGTTATCCCAGGGCCTGCGTCTAAGTCCGGTTTCCTAGTCCTTTACCCAGCCCTCTGGACCTATAGTCTGCGTGTGGCCTCCGCCTTTGTTCTGCTGTTTTGGGGGAGAGACCCAGCTCCAGGTACCAATACCTCTCTGAGCCCCATCAGGTGAGAAAACATTTCTGAAGATAGGGCCTCTGCAGCCTCTTGCTTCTTCCCCCACCCCACCCCACCCTGCCCCCCACCGTTATATTTTTCTTAAAGGAACTGTTTAAAAAACATTTTAAAAAATACACATCAAAATGTATTTCAGGAAAGGGGAGTTGGAACCCATGAATACTTGGTATTAGAGATTTAATGGTTTTGCTAATTCTCCCACTTGCTAAAAGCCAGCAATTGTCTAGTTCCCATTTCAAAGCTAGCTGGAAATTGAGATCTGCAAGAGGATGGTGAATACTGAGCAGGTTTTTAACTTTCCCAGCCTCAGCTAGAGGCTCCTAAGGCCTGTGGGGTGCAGAGGCCACATTTCCCAAGGAAGCCTACTGGGCAGAGATGTCAGTATGGAGGATTTCCAGCGGGCACAGCCTGTTCTAAAGAAGCCTGACCAGGGAGACGTGTTTTGTATTGAAATCTGTGGAGCCTCATATCTTGACAGCAGCCCCCCACCCCCAACAGCAAGCCTTAAAGTTTGAGAATTTAGGCAAAATACAGAAGCCCTGGCCAGCAACAAGCTGAGAGTTCACTTATTGTGGGAGACACACTCAAATCTGCCCACAGTCCCCGCACCTCCCACTCAGATGTTTCATACATATCTTGTTCATAGGCTTTTATACACCATTTTCTGACCGACTTGGAAGCCATTTTCTCATTTAATGAACAGTCAACACCTGCAGTGAAACCACAATCAGGAAAGAAAAACGAATTTGGTGCCCTCAAATCATTAGGAGGGTATCCGAAACGTTCTGAAAAATTGACATCAGTCCCTTGACACCTTGACTGGGACCTGGATATTTATTTCCACTCAAAACATTTCGATGTATCTGATATATACAAGCTCTTGGGTTGTTGTTGTTGTTTAACAAAATCAAAACAACAGAAACCATGCACAACAACTATTAGATAGCAAAGAAATTGCAATTAGTCAACATAAACTGAGGTCATTTGGGTGGAGGCTTAGGGC